AATCGATTAAAATAACTTGAAGTATTTTGAAAGATGTTCTGTCAGTATTTTAATCGATACAAACTCGAAATAATCGATTAAAATAACTTGAAGTATTTTGAAAGATGTTCTGTCAGTATTTTAATCGATACAAATGCGAAATAATCGATTAAAACAACTAAGAGATTTTTTCCAGAATGTTTTAATCGATTAAAACAAGTCTGTTATCGATTAAAATAACTTAATAAGTTTTAGGAAACTTTTTGGCAGAATTCTAATCGACTAAAATACGAAATAATCGATTGAAATAACTAAGAGATTTTTTCCAAAGTATTTTAATCGATTAAAACAGATTGTTATCAGTTAAAATTACTTAGAAAGTTTTAAGAAAACTTTTGACAGTATTTTAATCGATTAAAAGGCGAAATAATCGATTAAAACAATTTGAAGGATTTTTTACAAAGTGTTTTAATTGATATAAACGTTGTCGTATCAGTTAAAACAAATTTGAAAAATGATCAAGAACATTTTAACAAATGAAAAGAAGTTTTAACAGATTAATTCAAGACTTTTAACAGATTAAAAGATTGATTTAACAGATTGATTAAACCAACAGTTTGAAAAATCCTCTATAAAAACAAAATTGCTTGAGTCTTTCAAAACACACCTTTGAGCAATCAATCAAGCAATCATAAGTGCTACTTTCAAGAGAGAATCGCTCACGTTTTGTGAAGTTTTTCGTATCTCTTTCTTCAGGCAAATTTTGCATTCTTTTTGTGAAGAAACTCTTTCTGTAGAGCTGCATAAACCTGGTTTGAGTGTTCTAGTTTCTTCTCTTTGAAATAGATAATCTGTAATTTGCGAAAATCTTTCAAATATCAATTTACCCCCCCCCCCCCTCTTGATCTCAGCCTTCTTTTCTAACAAAATGCTATAAATGTCACAAATTATAATCTACCAATCATAGTAAGTGTGTGGTAATAATTTTATAAATATAAAGATACTTACTATGACAATTCAACATTTAAAGGACATAGTAAGTATTTACTATGTTGGTTAAAAATTGAACAAACATAATATGTTTTGAATCTCAATTTTTTTATACTTTCTCTTCCCTTTTCACTTTCTCTTTGCCTGATGCCTTCACAACTCTTCTTCCACATTTTTTATTGCTCGTTGTGACATCCTTATTGTTCATCTTCATTATTCATGTTCTTTCCTGTTTTGGATTTCTTACTTGCGATGCCCTCATTATTCATCTTTTTCATCCCGTCCCTAGTTTGTCTTTGTCATGGTAAGTTTTCTTCTCCATGCTTTTTCTCATCATACTTCACTGATAGTTGCTTGAGTTTTGTTTGGTTGCTTCTTTTTTAGTTCAAAGTTGTGTATGCTTTGGTGTTTATGGTGGTGATGGTAGAGAATGGGTTGACATTTGTGATAGTGGAACAAACAAATGCAATGAAATAAGTGGATGTAGTAGTGGAACAAGCGGAGTGATGATACACAAACGAACACGACACTTAACAAGCGACAACAATGTAACCTAATTATTGAAAAAAAACTATAAAATTGACTTTCTATATCGTTTAAAATTATAATTGACATAAAAAAATATTATTTACTATGTTAATTATATTTTAACCTTTTGATATTGCATGTATTTATGTTGGTTAACCAACATAGAAAGTCATAATTAACCGTCATAAAAATCATTTATGAAATAATGGAACTTTTAACATAAATATTCTAATTTGTTGAGAGGTACAAATTATGCAAAGTTAGATAAGGGGGATGAAGATGAGATGTTGTTCACGTCATATCCAAAGATGGAAAATTCAATAATAAAGAATGTGTATTTCCTTAGACTTTGGATGAAGGAATAACATGTATAAAAACATGAAATGGTCTTAGGGGAAATTCAGAATTCAATGCTTGGAGATATACATGAGCAATGAAATAATGATTGAAGTTTGTTATATACATGAGTAATAAAATAATTCGTTGATCATTGGTCAGTTGCATGAAAAAATTTTAGTTATTCTTATTCAACATGATACATGCAAAGTCTATCATCCAAGTAAGGTTTTAGTTATGCAAACATAAATGTTTATCATCATAATATTTGTTGTTCTTAGGTTTTTTATTTCTTCAACTCAACATGTTTTCAAACAATGTCTGAGAACAACACACAATTGTGGACCTATCAAGCCTAGATCGGATAACAAAAATTACATAATCACATTCATTGATGATTATAATAAAAAGAGTTGGGTATATTTACTAACAAAGAAGTTTTAAGCAATTAATAATTTTAAGAAACACATAACTTTAATGGAGAAGGAAATTGGAGATTTCATTCGTTATTTAGGAACTGACAAGGTCAAGGATTCATATAATCCAAGGTTAATAAGTTATGTAATGCAAATGAGATTAAAAAAAGAACTTACTATAACCTATACCTCATAGCAAAATAGGTTGTAAAGGAGGAGAATCATAGTGTGATGAATATGGTGTGTAATATGTTATCAAAAAGGAAATTCCTAAAGAGTTTCTATCGTAACTTTTGTCTATTAAAAAATGCTCTTTTGGGTGTAAGTGAGGAGTTAAAATTAGTAGACTTTATGAATCAGTATTAAAGAAAGTAATGATAATAATGTTATGTGTTTGAAGATGAAAACCAACATTCAAGAAAAATTATAAAAGATATAAAAGTAGATTTGTTATTTGAGACAAGATAACGAGATTGAGAATGAAGATGTAGAAATAAGAGATGACATAGAAGATGAACAACCTAAAACTTCTAAAAAACTCATCATAAAATGAGGGATTTGAAGAGGACACATCAATTTTGAATAAAAAGAGAAACATAAGGACAACCAATGTAGATAAATGAATTTATGGCAAGTGAAGGATTCTTTAATTTTGCAACTTGATAATGTTTATTTCAACTTAAGAACTTGTTTCAATAATCGATCACAAGCTTAAAATGAAGAGAGACAATAAAAACACATACAAGAGCTATTAAAAGAAATAAAACAAGATAAAAGGAAATATGTAAAATAGGTTTTTAAAATAAAATTTAATTTGCTACGAGATTCACCACCTTATAGAAATCTCTCTCCTGATATAAATTCATACATCCACATTTCTAACCTATGGTTTCTCCCTTAATTTATAATCAATGTATTGACTTCAAATAACTCATTTATTATTCATTGCGCTAGACATTGGTTGACCAAGTCAATTGAATGGTGGTACTTGAAATGCTAATTTTTTTTAATTAAAAAAAGTTAGATATTAATTATTAATTATTAATTATAATTTGTGGTCTAGTAATAAACATTTAAATTAATAATTGATACCAAAGGTAACATCATGAGTTTATTACTATGAAACAATTGATAAAAGGGAACTTGTTACGAATATTCCTAAATTGTCTCGTAATAAATCCTAATTGAATCGAATCATAATTAAATTACAAAATTATAATTTAGACTATTAACATATCATCTTCACCCACTAATAATAATAATAATAATAATAATAATAATAATAATAATAATAATAATAATAATAATAATAATAATAAATTATTATTATTATTATTATTATTTATTTTCAATTATTTGATAAATTATTTTTTTCTAACAAATTGTACTCCAAATCCAATCTTACTTAGAAACACATTTAATGTATTTAAAATATAAAACCTATTAAATATCTATCATAAAAAAAAACTGAATAAGTAGAAGAATGAATAATGAACTTAATATTTTTATTTTATTTTAAAATATGTTATATATTCTTAAAGTTATTGGATATTTTAATGAAGTCATAAAATAATATTCAAATTTAATTAAAAATAAATAAATTTAGATTTTAAATATAAAATAATGTCGTTTATAATTCACCATTTTGTTGAGTATAATGTACAATTTAAATAAATTTGTCTCCTTATCAACGAAGATACAAGTAATCTATATTAAAAAGTATCTTCTTAAAAATTCTCTTACGAATCTTCTACTAAACGATAAACTAAATGCATATGCATAAAATATTAAATCACATTAAGTATATTTCTTGTGTAAAAGCAAGAGAATTAATAGAAAAAACATTATAGGAGATTCTTTTAAAAAATAATAAAGTCAATATAACGTGCGAAAGAAAATTATAATAATAAGATAAAAATGAATATGGAAGAAGCAGGTGAACTGATAAGATGATTTCATCATTTCATCAGAAATAAAAAAAAAATAATGAGGAAAAGAAAAGAAAAAGAAGTAGGCTAAGTGGGGCAGCTAAAGCCAACCAAGGTCGAGGGGTCCACTACCTGAAATCAAATGGAACAAACAACCTAAGATGACACTTTCTACCAAAACTGTCTCTTACCTACTTTTAGAACTCTAAAACATTATTTGGAGAGAGAAACAGCGTGTATGACTACAAGTACAACTTCGTGTTGTGTGTGTTGTGCTGAGAGAGACTCTACAATTCATCGCGAGAGTCGGTCTAGGAGAGAAAAATGAGGAGGGGGGACTTGTAGAGCGCGGATTTGGCAGATAAATGAGTGATTGAATATTATGATACATGGTTACTCTAGATCCCCATGAGTTCATTTTCAGAAAATATAGCCTTTTTCTTTTCCATCTTTTTTTTTTGTGGGGTTCAGTTACTTTCTACAAATCTCAGACAAGCACTTCATTTCAGAAAAATCCGTGAGCTTTCAGATTCCTTCTCTCTCATAATCTTCGGTCTTTGCTGAATATTTGGCTTGCCTTTTGGGTTTGTTCCACAAATTTTTAGGTAATCTAAGTACGTGTAGATTTTGCTTTCAGATCATAGTACTGGGGTTTAGATATCAATTATCAAACATTTTACTCTCTCTTAATCTTGATATGGGGTATCTAGGTTTTGCTTAAAAATTTAGTCTTGGAGACGGTTGTAATGCAAGATTGAAATCAAATTTCGGAGACACTGGTTTTTGTCATACATATACTTGAGATTAAATATCTTGGGATTAAATGGAAGATGATGCAACAATGCCCCAGGAAGATCAGAGAAATTGTGATGGTAGAGGCATTGGGGGCCTTGGAAGATCTTCTAAGAAGTCAAAGCAGAAAAAGGTGCCACAAAGGGGACTTGGTGTGGCACAGCTTGAAAAGATAAGACTAGAGGAACAACAAAAAAGAGATGCACCTCAACTTTTACCATCGCCAACTGCTGTACCATCAACCTATCTGCCTCACCCACTGCAGAATTTTCATGACTCCAACCAATCCCCTTCTACCACACTTTTACCTTGTGAGCCACCATCTGAATTTAGGTCCCCTTTGTCATTGCAACAACAACACATGGATGATAAAATTCCTAACACTGTTCCATTGGCAAACAATGGTGGCTTTGAGGCTGGCTGGCCCGTTGTTCCTGGACACGGGAATGCTCCCAACTGGTGGAATTCCTATCCATTTGATTCTGAGAAGAGCAACTTTCGAGTGGATCCGGGATTGCCGATTCTACCATGCTTACCTTTGCCCAATTTAGTGCAGAGACCACCCCAATATCAGGATCAATCTTCTTCATCAGTGGTAGGACAATTTTTTTAGTGTGATCTCTCTTTTTAATTTGTATGAATGGAGTTTCATTTGTCTTATATTCATCACATACTCTTCCCATGGAATAAAAGGATATTGCATGTTTATCTTTTCAATTTATGTGATGATTTTCATTTGCCATCTATTCATCACATTCTAGCCTTTGGAATAAAAAAATGGATTTTTATATTGCACATATAGGTGAATGTCTCATCAGGAACTTCATCAACATCTATGCCTCATTTCACTACAGAGCCCCCTTCAAACCAAAACAATAAAGGCAGCAGTGTGCCTGGGAGGCCAATGGATAAGGTATGTGCAATTTGTGCTCTTAGAGTAATTTATGTGAATATTTCAGTTTGGTATCTACTATATATATGTTATTTGTGAGATGCTGGAAGAGCTTTGTAAGTCAGTCATGAATGTGGTATCTTCTGAGGTGGCTGCACATGGATGGTCCAATGGTGATGGTCATTTGCAAGGATTCATGAATGCAGGTGAGTTATGCTATTTATAGTCATCTAGTGACATGGATCCGGCGAGGATGGACTAGCAGATATCATCAACTTGCAGCTTCTAGCACCTTAATGCTTCTGCATGCACACAAAATGTCTGTTCTGTCGATATGGTAACAGTCACTGAAATTCTGGCGAGAATGTTTGCACTTCTGACAGATTTGTTTTGGTTCTGGACTCCTGTGCGATGAAGTATAGACAAAATCATTAGGGTTATATAACACAGCTGCTCCAATGTCCAAGTAAATTGAGCCTTTATTTGGTCCTAGTACATGGCTGCAGGCAGATTCATTGGACCCTTAGCAAGGTGGAGGTCGGTTCATAATCATAATTCAGTTTAAATATTAAGAATGTCTTTTAGAATAGAATATTGTTGAATGTAGTGGATTGGTGTTCAGAAGAGAGAGAAACAAAGAAATTAGAAAAAAGAGAGGGCTAGAGTGAAATATGTGATGTAATGTAATGTAATAACCAATGAAGAGATATGTGGAAGAAAAATGAGGTGGAAAGGAGATGGAAGAGTAACTGTGTGAATTATCCTTTATAATACTATTACTAGTACTAATTTCCTCTTCTATATGGTTGAATTTCTCAGTTTGTTTAGTTGAATAATCACATCATAATCATGTGTGCTCTCAACAAACTCACGCAGATTTTGAACTGGTACATTTTTATGTAAGAGATTTTCCTCATAAATTTTAAGTTTATGAAATTTACTATAGCTGTTTGAAACTTACTGCAGACGGTTGGCACAAAAAGGCCATACCCTTTCTCCCAGAATGTTTCTAATGCCCCTGCTTTCAATTATAATGTGCCCCCCTGTGCTGAAAGAAGAACAAATGTAAAAATTTCGTGCGGTAATGGAAGCGGATTTAACTTTGATGCTGGAAATTCTTCTTCCAGGTAGTTTCTGTTTAACTTTTTGACCACTGTGTTGTAGTTATTGTCTGCTCATACAGTGTGTTTGTGCACCATCTCCAGAGAAGTCACATTCGCTGCAGCATCCAACTCTGAGTCAAGCTCAAAGAAAAGAAGTGAAGAGAATGAGAATTTCAATGGAGATTTTCTCTCATTGGCTCCTCCATCTCCTGCTTCTTATCCACCTTCAAAGTCCAAGTCATCTTCAACCTTCTTACCATTTCACAACCAGGTATGTCCTGGATTGAGCCCCTATCCAGTTTTGGCAAATTCATGAGCCAGTCCACCCCCCCCTTTTTGGTATATTCACGATTCATTCTATTATTTCATTTGCTAAAGGGAAATGTAGAAGATCAAATCCCTGCCTCACCAGTGTACAATATGTTCAATCAACAAAAGCAACCACTGTATGGCCTCTTCCTTCCAGAACCAAAGGAGGAACAAAATGGACATACAGCAGCCAGGATTCAGAATGGTCATGAAGTGGGAGAAAATGTTGATCTTAATTTGAAACTATGAATAGAACTTCTAGGCTAGTTGTTCCTCCCTATGAAACTTACATACTCATCTTTTGTCTTTTTTTCTCCTAGCTTTTAGTCTTACAAGTGGTAGATATTCCTAAAGGTGCACATGTTGGGGATGAGTATGAAAAGGACTAGAAACCTTAGCCATGTGAGAAGTAGGAGTGGAGAAAGAAAGAAATGATGTTGATTTGTTTGTTTTGATTAGCAATGCCTAAGTGCTTTGATGAAGCCAAACTCTAGTGGCATGCCTTTGGGAATTGAGGCTATGCATTTGTTTGTTTTTTTCTTCTCTTGTTGTTTCCTTTCTTGGTTATTAAGTGCCTGGTTGGATGAGTCAGGAACTGGAGTGGTAACAAACTTGTGCATGTGGGTTGTGAAGACATTTGATTGTGCATTGTTCTCTGTTCTCTTTCCTTCTGCGTGTCAATTAAGACTTAATCTGGATTGATTTTGTGTGAATGTATCATTAAATTTTATGAATAATCTTGTGTGAATGGATCTTTACAAAGATTTAAAAAAAAAACAAAAAAAAACTGTCACCTTCAATTATCACATAAAATACTTTAAAAATAGGTTTAAATACAATTTTGATTTATTTATTTTTTTCAAAATGCAATTTTGATCCCTCATTTAAAATATGTACTTCTTAAAAATTAATTTTCCCCCTAAAAGTCACCCATTTTTAAACTTGCACTTTGTATAACATGCTTAATAATAAGTTAGACGAGTATAAATTATTTACACTCTTATTATAAAGGTTTTTAGAATCTGTTCTAAAATTGATTCCAGCAATAACCCAGGGTGTTTGGCTAACTTAGTATTGTAAATCGATTCTAAATTAATTTTGACGAGGACAAAATTGATTCTAGGAGAAGTAAAAAGTTATCTTTCTTATGGTAAAGGCCATGTTTATACTCATAAATTTGTTTTATTAACTGAAGAAAATAGTTTTTTTACTCAACTCACTTTTTCAATATCATACTAACACCAGGCAATCAATTATCTTGAAATTATTTATTTCAAAATCAATTTTATCAAAGATGGTTAACCCATGCTTCATTAATGATGGTTAACCCATTTTTCTATAGGTGTTTTATTGATTAAGAAAAATAATTGTTATACATTAATGATTTAATTAATAGATGTTTACTTAGGTGAGAATATTATAGGATTATTATATTAATATATAATTAAATTAAAATTAAATATTTGTTAAATTACAAAATATTTACCAATATAATTGTTAATTAATTTTTTATGAATAAAATAGTTTTCTCAATTAATATCTTATTTTTTTAATAATATATATTTTGGTATATAATTATAAATATTTGTACTAAAAAGTATATATTTTTTAATATTTGAGTTTAAATTAATAAAACAATATCACATAAAAAATATTAAATATTTATTTATATTTATGAGATTTTATAAATAGTATTTAAAAATCTATTCTCCACATATAAAACGAATTATAAACATGAATACTTATTCATTTGAGTGAGAATAATTTTATAAAATAATAATTTTTTTATATTTTTCACTTCCTGTTTGTATATAAATAAAAAGTAAAATATGTTAATTGTGACTTTTATACTAAAATAATATTATTAATTATATATATACATAACAGAACCTCTCATAAAATTATTTACTTAACTGAACCTCTTGTACTCGTTGTACTTGGAATTAGGTTTCCGTAAATCGAATTTCAACTTTAAACTTACTACATTTTTTTTAAATAAAAAATATAATTAAAAATAATAAAATTAATATTAAAAATAAAATTGTAATTTTAAATTTTAAATAATATTTATATAAAAAATAATAAAAAAATATATTATTTATGTTGAATATAGAAGAAATAGAGTTTGGGATTAATCTCCCTTGTGTATAAATCATACATAGGATAGTCTATTTATAGTAGAAAGATACAACTAAAAGAGTAACTGAAAGTAACAGAATAAACAGAAGATATTGTTTGATATTGTGGTTAACAATATTTAACAATATCTTAACAATATCAAATAATATCTAAACAGTATCTAACACTCCCCCTCAAGCTGAAGCATACAAATTGTATGTGTCAAGCTTGTTACAAATATAATCAATTCTAGGACCCCGTAAAGATTTAGTAAAAATATCTTATAACTGATCACTTGAGTTAACAAACTCAGTCTTGATGTCTCCAGACATAATCTTTTCTCGAATGAAATGACAGTCAATCTCAATGTGTTTGGTCCTCTCATGAAAGACAGGATTATAACTAATATGAAGAACAGCCTGATTGTCACACACAAGTGACATTTGAGTGACATCTCCAAATTGTATCTCTCTAAATAATTGTTTGAGCCAAAGAAGTTCACAAGTAGCTGAGACCATAACTCTATATTCTGCTTCTGCACTAGATCTTGCCACAACACTTTGTTTCTTACTTTTCCATGAGACCAAGTTACCACCAATAGAGACACAATATCCAGATGTAGATCTTCTATCCGAAGGAGATCCTGCCCAATCAGCATCTAAGTAGCAAACAACTCTTGTATGGTTATTATAATCATATAAAAATCCTTTTCCAGGAGATCCTTTAATATAATTTAAGATACGAATGACTGCATTCCAATGATCTTCACATGGAGAATTAAGAAATTGACTTACCACATTGACTGCAAAGGAAATGTCAGGACAAGTAACTGTAAGATAATTCAATTTTCCAACCAATCTTCTATACTGCTCAGGATCAGGTATAAGCTCCCCCTGATTTGGTAGAAGTTTAGTATTGGGATCCATGGGCGTATCAACAGACTTTGAATTCATCAACCCAGTTTCCTGCAAAATATCCATGGCATACTTCCTCTGAGATATAACAATACCATCATTTGACTGTGCCACCTCAATACCCAAGAAATATCTAAGTTTGTCAAGATCTTTGGTCTGAAAATGGTGACAAAGATGTTGTTTCAACTGAGAGATGACATGGTTGTCACTACCTATAAGAACGATGTCATCAACATATACTATCAAGTAAACACATCCAGCACTTGAGTGTCGATAAAAGACAGAGTGATCTGCTTCACACTGAGTCATACCAAATTGTTGAATAACCTTGCTAAACTTTCCAAACCAGGCCCTAGGAGACTGTTTTAGGCCATATAGGGATTTGTGAAGACGACATACCATCCCAGAAGACTCCCCCTGAGCAACAAACCCAGGAGGTTGCTCCATATAGATTTCTTCTTGCAAATCACCATTGAGGAAAGCATTTTTAACATCTAGTTGATAAAGAGGCCATTGTTGAAGAGCGACCATGGCGATAAATAAACAAACAGAAGTCATCTTTGCCACAGGGGAAAAGGTATCTCCATAATCCAACCCAAAAATTTGAGTATAACCTTTGGCCACAAGACGAGCTTTGAGGCGATCAATAGTACTATCAGGTCCAACTTTGATAGCAAACACCCACCTGCAACCAACAACAGATTTCCCAGACGGTAACGAGACCAATTCCCAAGTTCCACTATTATGAAGAGCACTTAGTTCATCTAACATGGCCTGACGCCAACCAGGATGGGCTAAAGCTTCACGGACAGTTTTTGGAATGGTCACAGAAGAAAGAGAGGAAAGACATGTATAAAAAGGTAATGACAGTCGATGATAACTCAAACCAATATAATGGGGAGAGGGATTACGTGTAGAACAAATACCTTTTCGGAGGGCAATGGGAAGGTCAGACTCAGATGTCACATCCGAAGGAGACAGAGTAGTTGACACTTGAGTAGAGTCACATGGTGGTGGTTGTGATTGGTTTCGGCAACTATAAACCTGAAGAGGCAGTGAAGAAGAAGCTGACTGCGAAGTAGAAACTAATGGTGAAGAAGACACAGTTAGAGGGTCACAAACAACAGGAACATTAAATGTACTAGGAGTGTTGACAAGATTGGATGGAGAAAGAGGTGAAGATTGACTTTTAAAATAAAAAGAGAACTCATCAAAGGTGACATCTACAGACACAAAATAACGGTTAAGAGAAGGAGAAAAACATTTGTATCCTTTTTGTGATCTTGTAAACCCTAAGAAAACACATTTATGTGATCTAAGAGAAAACTTGTCAAGACCAGAACTGAAATTATGAACAAAACATGTAGATCCGAAAACTTTTAGAGGTAAGGGATGAAGTGGTTCATGAGGGAATAAAATGGAATGAGGTATTTTATTATCTAAAACCGAAGATGGCATGCGATTAACAAGATAACATGCAGTAAGAAGAGCATCACCCCAAAAATGCTGAGGAACCTCTCCATGAATTAAAAGAGTGCGAGTTGTTTCAATAAGATGTCTATTTTTACGTTTAGCTACACCATTTTGTTGAGGTGTATAAGCACAAGAAGTTTGATGTAAAATACCATGAGAAGCCATGAATTGTTTAAAAGAATGAGAAAGATATTCACGACCATTATCACTGCGTAAAACTCTAATAGAAACACCGAGCTGAGTTTGAATTTCATTGAAAAAAGTTTGAAAGATATGAAATAATTCAGAACGATTTTTCATCAAAAATAACCAAGTGCATTTGGAATAATCATCAATGAAAGTAACAAAGTATTGAAAACCTAAAGTAGACTTAACGCGGCTAGGTCCCCAAATGTCAGAGTGAACCATGACAAAAGGGGACGAAGCACCACGTGTGACACTACGAGGAAAGGAAGTACGACTATGCTTGCCTAATTGACACGACTCACATGCCAAACTAGACAATTTAGATAAGGCAGGGACAAGTTGCTGTAACTTGGCAAGACTTGGATGACCTAACTGAGCATGGAGAAGAGAGGGAGACTCTATAACTGCACCAACATGTGTAAAGAGATGAAGATGATAAAGACCATGAGACTCACATCCTGTGTCAATCACCTGTTTCGAACTCCGGTCCTGTAAACACACAGAATTATTGGTAAAAGAAACAACGCAATCAAGAGAACGAGTTAGACGACTGATGGATAACAGGTTAAAAGGAGACCTAGGGACATAAAGAACATTATCAATGGTTAAATAAGGGAAAAGTTTGTTGACAATTCAAGGACTTGATGTTGCACTTGATGAATATGAAGAATGGATTTTGATGATGATCCAAGAACTAAAGACTTAGAATATTGAAGATTGAAGATTGGTGATAATTGTATTGTAATAACTCTGATTTATTTAAGATTGAGTCTGTATTTTTAGAGTCTAAGTTAGCCGGTACATAGTCTATAACTTAGAAGCTTCAAAAAGCTCAAATTTATCATTCAGGCTCGGGTTTAATCGATTATATAGGTAAATAATCGATTAAAACAGTGAGAAAACACTTTCTATACAAACTCACTGTTTTAATCGATTAAAACAGCAAAAGAATCGATTGTTTTGTACCTGTCCGTACAGATAATCGATTATTTCACCAAATAATCGATTATT